CAATGTTTGTGCAATGGCTCTGATTGATTGTCCATCTTCTCTCAGATTCACAATTGCTTCTTTTTCACCCATAGACAGCTCTCTGGTTTTCATGTTGGTTCCACCTCTAAATGCAGTCTGCACAGGCAAAACCTATCATACCCAATCTGAAACTGAGCTCAGACATCCAGTGCTATTTATTGTTTGAATAATCAATGTAATTGGGAGACACCTGGGCAACAAAACACACCTGTCAGTCACATGTTCCAATACTTTTGCTCTCATGAAAAATGGTTGGGTTCAAACAAAAGGTGCTATCTTCTAAGTTGTGTATCAGATCCAGATGTAAATGCCTGGAAATGAAAGCTGAAATGTTGATCTCTTGTCTCATATTCATCTTTTGATGTCAAACCCAAATATTTTCAGTCTACAACAAAAATAAAGGAATTGGCCTCACTGTTCCAATACTTTTTGAGGGCACTGTATGGTGGGGGTGGCGGTGTGGTAGAGGAGTGGTGTTAACTACTGGAGGTGTGGTGTTAACTGGTGCAGGCATCGTGGGGGTGGAGGTGTGGTGGAGGTGTGGTGTTACCTGGTGGAGGTGTGGTGGGGGTGGAGGTGTGGTGTTACCTGCTGGGGATGCGGTGTTACCTGGTGGAGGTGTGGTGTTACCTGTTGGAGGTGTGGTGGGGGTGGAGGTGTGGTGTTTCCTGTTGGAGGTGTGGTGGGGGTGGAGGTGTGGTGTTACCTGTTGGAGGTGTGGTGGGGTGGAGGTGTGGTGTTACCTGTTGGAGGTGTGGTGGGGTGGAGGTGTGGTAGAGGTGTGGTGTTACCTGCTGAAGGTGTGGTGGAGGTGTGGTGTTACCTGTTGGAGGTGTGGTGGGGGTGGAGGTGTTAATTGGCATCTCGTTATCCTGTAGGATGGAGTTGATGAAAGTGGTGGGGGAGAGAGGCGTGTCCACAGGTGTAGTCACACCCTCCAGAACAGGACACACCTCCACCTCAGGACTGGAGGGCTCCTCTTTGACATTCACTGATTGACTGTCTCTGCAGGAGGAACAGAAGATGATTAGCTGTCAGACAGGAAACAGAATGATTTCACTTCCTGTTGACCTCTGCAGAAATTACAGTCAGTGTAAGTTCTGCATTGTGATTGGCTGTTTGCTCAGCACTGCGTCACATGACCATGACCTGTTGGTAACGCCCTTTACAGACTAACAATGAAGATGTCCCTGTTAGCGGTCAGTGATGTGACCTCTGTCAAATAGTGACGTTCATCAGACAGTGACCTTCATCAGATAATAACCTTCAACAGTTAGTGACCTTCATCAGACGCTGACCTTCATCAGATGGTGACAATCGAATGGCAACTTTCATCAGATGGAGACCTTCATCAGATAGTGACCTTCATCTGATGGTGACCTTCATCAGACAGTGCCTTAAGCAGTTGGTGACCTACATCAAATGATGACCTTTGTCAGACAGTGACCTTAAACAGTGACCTTCATCAAACTATGACCTTCATCAGATGGTAATAATCGAACGGCAACCTTCATCAGATGGTGACCTTCATCAGACAGTGTCCTCTATCAGATGGTGACCATCAGACGGAGACCTTCATCAGATGGTAACCTTCGTCAGACTGTGGTCTTCATCAAAAAGTGATCATCAGACTGTGGCCTTCATTAGTCAGAGATCTTCATCAGATGGTGACCTTCATCATTGTGATTTTCATCAGATAGTATCCTTAAGCAGCTAGTGACCTTCAGACAGTGACCATCATCAGACGGTGACCTTTATCAGACTGACATTAAGCAGTTGGTGACCTTCATAAAACTATGACCTTCATCACATGGTGACCTTCATCAGACAGTGACCATCAAAGGGTGACCTTCACCAGACAGTGACCTTCATCAAATGGTGATCATCATCAGACAGTGACCTTCATCAGTAGTGACCTGAAGCAATTGGTGTCCATCAAACCATGACCTTCATCAGGCAGGGACCATCAGATGGTGACTTTCATCAGATGGTGACTTTCATCAGATGGTGACCTTCATCAGATGGTGACCATCATCACATGGTGACCATCAGATGGTGACCTTCATCAGACGGTAACCCTCATCAGATGTGACCATCAGATAGTAACCTTCATCAAACCATGACCTTCATCAGACAGTGATCTTCATTAGATAGTGACCTTCATCAAACCATGACCTTCTTCAGACAGTGACCTTCATCAGACATTAACCTTCATCAGACATTGGATCGCTCCCGTCCTTCACCTTGACCTTCTCCTGATGATGTCATGAGCTCAGTCTTTGTCACTGTACAAACTTTAGAATACAATAAAGTAAAAAAAAACACTGACTACATGGGAAATGGTTTGATTGGATCTCACCCTGCATCCGTCCAATCACTGATGACACTGTCAGCTGGGGGCGTGGTCAGGTCTGTGATGTCAGAGATGATTGGTCCAGAGGTCAGCGCAGCGTCTGCAGAGAACAGACTGGCTGCAGCCTGAAAACACACACACACACACACAATTCATACCTGCTCAGGTGTCAACATGGACGTGAACAGGTGAGTCAGACACGTTACCTGCATGTGCTCCAATGAGAGCGGTCGACTGTATTTGGGCATGGAGTGGGCGGAGCTAGAGTCATTGAGCATCAGAGGTCTGCAGAGAGAGAGAGACAGAGACAGAGATCGTCAATCAATCAATCAATCAATCAATTTTATTTATAAAGCCCAATATCACAAATCACAATTTGCCTCACAGGGCTTTACAGCATACGACATCCCTCTGTCCTTATGACCCTCACAGCTGATCAGGAAAAACTCCCCAAAAAACCCTTTAAGGGGCAAAAAACGGTAGAAACCTCAGGAAGAGCAACTGAGGAGGGATCCCTCTTCCAGGACGGACAGACGTGCAATAGATGTCGTACAGAACAGATCAGCATAATAAATTAACAGTAATCCGTATGACACAATGAGACAGAGAGAGAGAGAGAGAGACAGAGACAGAGATAGAGTCAGAAACAGGCAGAGACAGACAGAGAGACAGAGACAGAGAGGGACAGAGACAGAGATAGACAGAGACAGACAGAGAGGGACAGAGACAGAGACAGAGATAGGGTCAGAAACAGACAGAGACAGACAGAGACAGAGACAGGGTCAGAAACAGACAGAGACAGAGAGCTGCTGAGACACACTGAACCACAACTGGTGTTTTCTTATAGATCATTTTGATTATTAATTCTAAACTAAGCGTTGGTAGATTATTTCTTTGTTGTAACGAAGCCTCTTGTCAATAAATCTTATACCCTTACAAATGTGGCACCATTTTAAAGGGAAATAAACAGGCTTTCCAACTGTATAAGATTTAATTTTTTTTAATCATTTTATATACTTTATTAATCCCCATATATAAAATTCAATTTTTCACTCTGTTGTCAATTACACACAGGTCCGAACACACACATGCACAAACTGGACCTATACTTGCACTAAGTGGAGAGATGTCAGAGTGGGCTGCCCATGACAGGCGCTCCATGCGGTTCAGTGCCTTGCTCAGGGGCACCTCGGCAGTGCCCAGGAGGTGAACTGGCACCTCTCCAGCTACCAGTCCACGCTCCATATTTTGGTCCGGACGGGGACTTGAACAGGCGACCCTCCGGTTCCCAACCCAAGTCCCTATGGACTGAGATACTGCCGCCCCCAATATTATTGACAAGAAGCTTCGTTACAACAAAGAAATAATCTACCAAACACACATTTCCCTACTTTTTGTGCTTAGTTTAGATTATTTTATTTTATTACAGCATGCTAACTGTATGCTAACAGTACACTAACAGTATGATAACAGTATGCTAACGACATGCTAACAGTATGCTAACAATATACTAACTGTTGGCTAACAGTATGCTAACAATATGCTGACTGTTGGCTAACAGTGTGCTAACAGTATACTAACTGTTGGCTAACAGTATGCTAACTGTTTGCTAACAGTATGCTTACAATATGCTGACTGTTGGCTAACAGTATGCTAACAATGCGCTAACAGTATGCTAACTGATGGCTAACAGTATGCTAACTGTTTGCTAACAGTACGCTAACAGTATGCTTACAATATGCTGGCTGTTGGCTAACAGTATGCTAACAGTATGCTAACAATGCACTAACAGTATGCTAACTGTTGGCAAGCAGTACGCTAACAGTACGCTTACAGTATGCTAACAGTACGCTAACATTATGCTAACAGTATGCTAACTACTGGCTTACAGTATATATGTAAATACATTGTGTAGTAAACGTACAGTTTTCTCTTGACTCCCAACATCCTATTGGACTGAACCAGAGACACCAGGAACTGGATCAACTGTGGACACAGACACTTCATTATCATCATCATCATTATTGTTGTAACTGGCTCAGATAGAGGCTGAGATGACAATGCTAATATGCTAACATAATGAGTGGGTGTATCAATGTATTGGTGTACTGATTACCTTGTTGACGACCTTCTGTTGCTGAGCGTGTTTCTGTCTCAGACTGGCCACTTCTCTCCACAGAGCCTCGTTCTCACTGAAACACACAAACAGGGACACTGAATGTAGTGAGGACACTGCTGACGGCTGGACCAGCTCCACAGACCCTGCTGACTGCTGACTGAGCTGTGTTCTCACTGTTTCATGGTGATAATCCTCGAGTCAATGGTTTCCTGTTTCCCCTTCATCAGCTGGACGTCGCTCAGGATCTTGTTCACATCCTCTGCTGACATCTTCACTTCCTCCTGACGCACAGATGACACCTGAGCCACAGAGAGAAACATACTATTACCATGGAAACCAGAACAAGTCAACAGGTTAACAGTTATGAACAGTGTGTGTACAGGTGTGTTGTTCAGAGTCCTATTTCAGAAAACAGGATCAGTGAAAATTCTGAGTTTGTTGAGCCTGAAATGAAACTCTGAGTTTGTTGAACCTGAAATGAAACTCTGAGTTTGTTCAGCCTGAAATGAAACTCTGAGTTTGCTGAGCCTGAGATCAAACTCTGAGTTTGTTGAGCCTGAGATGAAAGTCTGAGTTTTCTGTTTCACAAAGACAGCTCAGTGTAACCCTGAGTCAGTTACTATTAGGGGTGTAAATCACCAGCTTCATCACGATACGATATTATATCGATTTGTTTGGATGACGATACAATGTTTGCTGATATCACAAAGTCTGTCACGATACGATTTCGATTCGATTCGATTCAAGAGCCTGTGATCAATATGATGCAATACCATATGCCCATCAAACACAATCATTTACATCAACTCACAAAAACAACTAGAATATGATTTGACCATTTTACTTCTGAGCTCTTCCAGGTATCAGGCATTTAAATGAAAAACAGTATTCTTCTGTAACAAAAAATAATAAAAATAGACCTGTTAACTAAAATGATGACACAGACGTGCTATGTGAATTTCAAAATAAAAGTGTATCTTTAAGATGACGATATGGATCGATGTTTTCATTTTGCATCGATGTAATTGGATCGTTAATCAATGAATCAATGTATCGATGTGGATCGATGTATCATTACACCCCTAGTTACTATGGCAACATACTCTGTGAAGCTAACCTGCTGAGTCACAGGTTTGCTTCATGTCAGCCTGAGGCTGAGCGTGTAGCAGGAAGTAGAAACATGGCGTGTCCTTTAGTGAATGAAGTGGTGGAGGTTGAGGCCCAGTGTATTCAGAGGCTGTTGTGTAAGGAGAAGGTGATTAGAGCCTGTTTGGATGTCTCCCTGGAGGAGTGTCTATATGAAAGATACTGTTTGACCTCACACTCTATCATTTATCTAACAATCTGTTCCACCCACATATATCACATATTACACATCCTGGATTTACATTATCATCACAGCACATTTTATGCATTGTCCTTTGATTCTTTTCTTTATAACATCAGAGACACTGAACACATCAGAGAGACAGCGGTTTGTCGGCCCGTAAGAAAAGTGTCTCTGGCTCTGAAAAGACTTTGGACCCTTGTTGTGGTTTTCCCTGGTCATAAATCACAATCCATTATCAAGGACAAGTCCTACGGGTCATCGGTAGCTTAGTGGATGGAGCGGGCGCCATAAGTATGGGAGCTTAGTCCTTGATGCAGCGGCCGCGGGTTCAAACCCAGCCTGCTGTCCTGTGCTACGTGTCGTTCCCTCTCTCCCCATAACGTTATGCTGTCCTGACATTAAAGGCAACAAAAGCCCAAAAATAATCTTTAACAAAAGAACTGCAGGTGTGTCAGTGTTAATGAGAAATGAATCTACCTGGACACATGATGAGGTCATTGATCAAGACGTCTCATATATTCAAAGATGGAAATGGTTTAGACACATGAGCTCATCACATGACATCACATCACTTCACATATGAACACGCTCTGCAGGCTGTTCCCATCACACCTCTCTCTGTTCAGCTGATGGAGCACACTGATTTTTCATGTCTTCAAATCTCTGATTCAGTTTTGGATGAAATCAGTGGCTCTGCTTTTAACTCCACTTCCTGTCTCTGAGAGTCATGTTATCTGCACTCTACTGATGTCTGTTGGTGCTCACTGTGACCCAACTTCCCTCAGGCTGAACATACTCAGAGCTGATTGAACTGATTCTGATCAGCTGCTCTGTTTCTCAGCTCAGGCTCAGTCAGCTCAGAGATCAGGATCAGAGTTTGTTGAGCCTGCTCTCGGAAACAGGGCCCTGGTGTACAAGTGTAAGGGTGTCACAGGTACTTACATTGGTGACCTTGCGTTTGATGTTCTCCAGCAGGTGTTCTTGTCCTCTGATGAAGAACGGATGTTGGAACTCGGTGTCGTCTCGTTCTGGTTTCACCAAACCCCCCTGTTCAATGTGGACCACCTTACGGAACCCGTCTGAGACAAAGAAACAAATATTTAAACATCTTTGGTTTGTTAATATATACAAATATAAACACTGCCACGATGTTTATATTTATATTAACCGACGTACAATGTCTACATTTGTATTAACCAACGTACCATGAACCAGTGTGCCATGTTTATATTTGTATATATATTAACCAATGTACCATGTTTACATTTATTATTATTAACCAACAGGACCATATTTATATTTATATATATTAACCAAAGTGACCATGTTTATATTTATATGTATTAACCAATGTACCATGTTTATATTTATATATATTAACCAATGTACCATGTTTATATTTATATATATTAACCAATGTATCAGGTTTATATATATATTAACCAATGTACCATGTTTATATTTATATACAGTACAGGCCAAAAGTTTGGACACACCTTCTCATTCAATGCGTTTTCTTTATTTTCATGACTATTTACATTGTAGATTCTCACTGAAGGCATCAAAACTATGAATGAACACATGTGGAGTTATGTACTTAACAAAAAAAGGTGAAATAACTGAAAACATGTTTTATATTCTAGTTTCTTCAAAATAGCCACCCTTTGCTCTGATTACTGCTTTGCACACTCTTGGCATTCTCTCCATGAGCTTCAAGAGGTAGTCACCTGAAATGGTTT